TTCTGTGCACCTAATGTAGAAATACTGACTCACACGTTCAGCTGCTTTTTGGCTGGGGATGAGGGGAAGAGGAAGAAAGGGGAAGCTGGGTAAGAAAACCTGCGTAGCCCTAAGGGAGGGACGGCCGGAAACACTGTACTCGCCTTGGGGGGCAGTTCTCTTGCGACGTCGGCAAGAACAGAGCCCGCGGAGCGGTGCGCAGTTGGAATTGCGTTTGGATGGATACCAGCTGCCTGCCAGGTATCAGTAGTGTTTGACCAAACCAAGGCTATTAGGGACAAGATGAGTAATTAGACATTTCACCTTTTTTTTTAAAAAGTCTCAAGTTGAACTTGTATAAAAATTTGGATGCAGAAAACTAGGGTGAGTCTCTAGGTGAAAAGCAAATTTGCAGAGATGCTGTGTGCTCCCTACAAGGATACTGAAGGACGCTTGGATAGAAACAGAGGCGAGCGATACCTTTTAAAAAGAGATGTGCGAGGCTTTCTCTTTGCTGACGTGTCAACGTTCCCGGTACCGCTGTTGGCCGTGCGGGTCCAGACCCTGTCATGGGGATTGGATCTGATTCAGGCGACGTGGAAGGGACGGTCACTGAGCTGGGGGACGCTCTTGGTACGGCGATAGAGACACGGTGAAAGTGTTTTCAGTGGGGAGATGTGATTTGCTTATTTACGCAGTGCTAAACGCCTTCTCCGCAGCAGACTTGCGAAGGGCGACAGCCTGCCGTTTATCAGCCTCAGGAAAACTCTTTAAGTATAGGCGATCTGTCTGGCTTCATCCTCTCCAAAAACAAACAAACAAACCAAAAACCCAAACCCACGGCTTGGGCCAGCAGTCCCAAGTCCGACAATTCGGAGCAGGAGATGAGCAGCACTGCCTGGGGGCTCCTGGAGAAAAAAAAGGGCAAGAGGAACATCTCCTCCTTCCCCTGATGTCAAGGAAGCTACAGAGACACCTGCAGAGGCTGCAAAATTGCCGTAGGGAATAGCGATGGAAGAAAGCTTTATTTAAAAACCTGTTCGTGCTTTTATTATGGGCAGTGCTTCTTCCAAATAACCAGCGAAGGAGTCGTGGGGCGGGAACCCGGTCCGTCGTGTGAGCTCTGCTGTGGGCGTCCCTCTTGGAAACAAAACCCTATTTAGCAAACATCTCCGTACAACAGAGGCCGAAGGAATGTGCTTTTTAAATAATGTGGCCTCTTGGTTATCTTGCTTGCCTAAAAATGCTTTTGCTTGAAAGCTGAAAGTGTCCAAAACCATTTCTGAGCGTAAAACTTCAGAGGGGGAGAACCGGCCGTGAGCCTGCGCGGCGAGACGGAGGGTGAGAGCACCGAGGTCTTGCAGCAAGATATTTGACTGCACTTAGTGAGTTATCGGTGCTGGCGGCTAACTGCCTTTATTAAATGTTTATGGGGAAGGGCAGGGAAGGGAAGTGCTTGTACGTGCCCATCTCCGCATCCGCAGCCCCGCGGAGCGGAGTTGGCTGAGGGAAGCGGAGCCGTGACGTAATTCCTGGGGGACAGAGGAAAGACGTGGAGATGTTTGTTCATCTCCAGCCAGACCCACCTTGCAGGGCTGGGAAAAGCGTGCTCTGCGCAATGATCGCTCCTTTGAAATGCAAACAAGTAAACAGACTCATTCCACAAATGTTTGGATTTAAAAAGAGAAAACTATGTCCAGAGGAAATGTTTGTTTGCAGACCGTCCGTCTTGTTTACTGCGGTTGATGAGACCTGCTCCTTCAGCTCTGCCCTCCCTTCAGTCTTCATTTCCAGAGCCTTGACTTTGCCTTTTTGTTTTAAGAGCAAAGTGCGCTTGGCGTTTGTGTTTTGATAACGGTCCTTAACAAACGGATTCATGCAAAATAAACACGGTGGGACGTAACTACAAAGCAGAGCGTTTTGGCAGCAGGGGCCAAAGCGAGCTCCCGGTTTATCGTGTGTTCCTGATGGGATGGTCCTGTAACGGGTTCATCCGTCTCTGGGCGCGTCAGCAGTTTCGTCCTGCGAGTTGGCCACGGCAAGCACAGCTTGTCCAATGGGTTCGGGGTGATGTCCGTGTGGTTGAATGTGGGTTGTTGCCCACCGACTTTGCAACCTCTCTTTTGTAGTTTCAGAGCATGGCTCGGCTTGCATGTTTGCAGTCGGGCTGTGCAAAGGTAGCTGCCTATCGCTAACCTAACCGTCAGTCGGAGACCGCGTCCTCTAGTTCAGGTGTTAAGGAAGGAAAGGAAATAACGGGCAGAGCTTGGTGGGCGAATCATGCACGCGCTTGTTGACCCATCGCAGTCCTGTGCCCCGTCCTGCTAGCGCACAGCCTCACAGCTCTGCAAACTTCTCCCGAAGTGACCTGCTCGCACCGTAATCCAGCTTCGGCCCCGTTAAACCAGTACTAACCTCAGTTGGGCCCGTGTGAGCCAGACGGTGGATCCTCAGCCCGGTCCTGAGCAGCTGCGGCTTCTGGCTATGCGTTTTGTGGGGTGTGTTGGGTAGTCTGGGAACCGTTGGTCTAAGCGCCCTCCTGCGTAATTTGGTTTAATTTGCTTTTCCTTCTCGCTGATATTTCTGGGTTAGGCTCTGCCGCTTCCCCCAGGGGGACCAGAAAATTGAGCTTTGCGGCTTTTTCACTTTCCCCAGGAAGCGAGCAGCAGGCGTGAAGCTGCCTTTTCAAGGGCGGTGGTGGGGAGCCAGCTGGATGCTGTGCGAATCTGCTGTAGCCTTTTATTTTACTGGGATTTTACAGCTTTCTCAGAGAGCCTGTTCTGCGATAATCTTGCAAAAAACAAACTCCTTGCAAGACTTTTTTTTTTGTGAAAAGCAGCTGACAGTGTAAACCTCCCAAGTCGGAGCAGTTTGCAGAGTTACCCTTGCGTGCTCGCGCGGCCGATGTTCGGCTATGCCGAGCTGTCGTGTTTTCTCCTGTGCAAGGAGTTGGAGTATGAGAATTGAGGCGTGCGGTTTCCTACACATCTGTGTCTTCCGCTCAGCTCAGAGCCTCGACCAGCTGGGTTTGGGCGCTGCCATCCCCTGGCGGCTTCCCTGGCGCGTTGGCTGCGCTCTGCTGCACTTGCTGAGGGGCACACGCGTCTGCCTCTCCGACGCCCGTTTTCTCCGTGCGTGTAGAAAGGTGCGGTTTTGGTGGTGTCCATCCCTCCGACAGCTTTGGAAGAACGTCCTTGCAGCTTGGAGAAGCTCCTCGAGGGGAGGAACGCAGGTAGGGTCTCGCACTAAACCTGGCTTCTGCAGGAAACCAGGTTGGAAACAGGCCCAGCCGTTCGCCCCCCCAGCTGGCTGCTGTGACTAGTCCCGGTGGAGATGTGTCAAAGACTTCAGAGATCCTGGCCCAAATGGGGCACAGCTCCAAATCGCCGTGATATGAGCCCAGATCCCGTGGGTTACCTCTCCCAGCTGCCCGGTAGGTCCGAGGCTCTTGGCTGGCCAAAGGCCCTCCTTGCAAAAATAACCCACTGGGAAGCTGAGGAAAATTGCATTCCTGGAGAAGTTAAATGAGTAAAGGTCCCTTATGCTGCTTCATTTTAACCAAAGCCTGAGGAATAGTATAAGCTTTTGCATTACATGCTGTGGAAGAATACTTTGGAAAGCTTGGAAGGCTTCTGTCTTTTAAGCACTCTGGTTATTTTGGCAACTAGTGTGAGCTAGATTAAAAGTAAAATTGCTCAATATGATAATACATAGGAGGGTGACATATTTAAATGCATCTTAAAATTAAGTATGTATTCTTACATACTGTACGTGTTTATATGTCAAGATTTGGGCTGGGGGGATTGAAAGGCATAGTGGATTATACGCTATTTCCTCCCTGTAAGCAGTGGCAATTTATTACTGCAAATATATGTGATGCAATGCACAAAGATTAGTTCTGTCCTCTCTAAAGCATGATTATTTGGGGTCCTTTTTATACCTTAAATAGATATTCTGCTCCTGTGATTTCCATCTTTTTGTGTCAGCAACCCAGGCTAAAGTTGAAATACACATTGCATCAGCTTACTAAAATGGACTCTGAAGAAATCTGCTCTCCATTATGGGGATCATTTGGAAAGCCTTTTCATTTTAAATTTTTTTGATGTTTGGCTAGGCGGTGCGAAGATCGCATGAATCCTGCAGCCTGCTCAGCTTCACTGGACCTGTCTTGTGTTAATGTAATTGAGTAGCATTTACGAGTAGCATCCTGAGCAGTGTAGTTAATCAGTTAGATATCCCCCCACCTTGTAATTCATTGTGAGTTTCTGTGGCTGGTTCAGGGACATTTAGAAGTGAGCAGATGCTCAAACTTGTTGTACTCTTGAAATTTTTGACCTAATAGTGAATTTTGTCAGCTGTATTAGTTTTGTCTTGAGCGGTGGATTATTCCTTCCGGTCCCAGTTGCGGAGAAGGATGCTTCAGTGCTTCAAAGCATTATAGGCCGTGTGGGATTTTTGCACGGCACGTTATGAGGACAGTTGTTAATCAGGTGCCTGTTCTCATCTGCTCTGCTTCCCCAGCCCTGCAAGCCGGGAAGAGGGACCTGGAGGAAGAGAGGGCCTCAGAGCAACGCTGTGCTGCCAGACCACCTGCCATCTCTTCCCCTTTGCCTAGTCTTATTTGTTTCTGGTTTTTTTAACCATTTGCTCTTGTCAGGGCATAGATGTCTTCCCTCATTTGTGGTTTCTCTAAGGGAAGAGCTGCATGTCCGTCTGCAGTTTTAAGAACCGCACTGGAAGGACGGAGGGCTTGCAACAGCCAGGTGCCAGCATGTTTAGCAGTTTGGAGTCAGTATCATCCAAGTGGTGGAAGATGCATGAGCAGACGTCGATCGAGATGTTTCTTTCAAAGCAAACAAAAACTTAGAATAATTTGTTCGCTCTTGATTTCTTTGTAGGTTGGAGTCGGCGGGACAGGGTGGTGTGACTGGGGAACATAAGCTCTTCAAACCAAGCGCTTAATGCACACATAAATATTGGAAAGAGCCTTGTCTGACGTATTTTGCACCTCTGTTACAGTGTCATCATGACAACAGAGAAGAGTTTAGCGGCGGACGCTGAGAATCCGGAGCAGCAGCAAGCGAAGGAGGAGGAGGGAGCTGCTGAAACGCAACAGCAAGAGGCTTCTTCGGAGGAAGCGGCTCAGCAGGCGTCGGAAGGACAGACCCCGTCGGGGCAGAAGCAGGCGGCCTCCAACGGCGATACCCCCACGCACGAGGAGCAGAGCAAGAAGGAACGCCGCACCTCAGAGGGCCGGGGCTTGTCCCGCCTGTTCTCGTCCTTTCTCAGGAGGCCCAAGTCTCAGGTGTCTGAAGAGGACAAAGACGCTGATGGTCCTAAGGAGAGGGAAGGTGAGCAGAAAGAGCCAGGAGTAGGAGCCAGTCCTGATGAAGAGATCCTGGTGAAGGCTCCAATTGCAGCTCCCGAGCCTGAGCTCAAAACCGATCCGTCGCTAGATCTCCATTCGTTAAGCAGTGCGGAAACGCAGGTAAATACCCTGCTCTGTTTGGCGTGCTCCCTTCTGGTCTTGCAATTGTGTCATTTAATCAGAACTATAAAAGCAAAAACCCTTGAGATACTGAAAAGGCTCTTGTCAACTCTGAACGTCTTTACAAAACCTGTGTTGCACAGCGTACTTTCCACTCTTGCTTTCCTGTATCAGACCACACTGCAAAGTACTTTCCCCTGAAATTCCAGTAATTCTTCAAAGCGTAGTGTAAATTGCCCAATACTGACTCTTCGCAGTGCTCTGCTGAGGTATGGGAGTTCACATCAGAACTAGGATTTGAATTTGTAATTCACCACAGAGCAATTGCTTTAGTTTTCCTTTGGATATCCTTGATGTGTACAGAATAAGGACAGGTCAGTGGTATGAAGTGGAGATTCCAAAAGAAAGTGAATTTGGAAAAAGGTTTCTTGAACTTCAAGGAAGGTGAGTGTAGCAGGTCAGGACTGGGACACCTGTTTAGTCCGGGCTGTTGCCGAATACAAATATTCTTTGCTTATGCATTGGATTTCTCTGCAGTCTGTAGGCTGAGCCCAGCTGCTTTCTGACTTCCGATCTTTAAAGTCAGGATTGTTTTTCACGCAAAATTTAAACATTTCAATACGTGGTAGAAACTGAGGCAGACACCCAGAGTGAGGCATTCACAAAGAGAATGTGGCTCGTTATTAAAGCATGGTTTTCTTCGTTTGGGGATGTTGGGTGGCCTCTCCTTGGCAGATGTTTTGGGTAATAGTGCAGCTGTGCAGAGTTTGAGAAAGGCCCATGTCGCTTCTCCCAAGCAACCTGGGTGTCTTGCTGAAGTCCTAGCAAGTCAGTGGTAAAATCTGGATTACTTCCCAGGCTGCCTTAACTTTTTGAATGGTCTCCTGAGAGGTGTTACCTGTCAGTGAACTGCAGTCTCTAGGTTTTAACTGAGTTTTGGAGAAATACTTTAAAAGGTAGAGCATTGCCAACTGCAAGCAGTATTTGTAAATCTACCTCCTGAAAATTATGGAGTTGTAAAGAGGGCAGTAGGTAACTTTTTTTCTTTCTTTTCCCAAGTTTCTGAGCCTTTGAAAAACATGGGGTGATTTCTGCTAGTGCTTTGTACCTGTGAGGGTTGGGATGAGCAGAGTGAGGAAGAAATGGAAATGTTCACGTAAGTTAAGCCCAGAAGTTGCACCTTCAAGGGGAATTGAGTGGTTTTTTCCCTATTTAGCTTTGATTTACCTGTTCTGAGCACGTGTGACTCTGCACAGCGCGAAAACCCACGACCTTCCTTCAGCATGTCCTATTCATTTCAGATGAAGCCCTTGTTGTTTTTAGTTCTTATTTTAGATTGACGCTAGTGGCTTTTTGAACTGTGGCGCTCGGCAGATATTTCTGCTGTGAAAGCGTTTGTGGGTGCTGCCTGCTTGATAAATGCTGACCAACAGGCATTACGAGCTTTGACTGATTCTCTGCTGCCGATTATCCCGGCCCTGCTGGAACATAAGTCAGCAGCTTGTGGACGTTATTCAGTTTTTAAATACTGGAGCCGGCGCTGCCTCCGTGCAGTTGTGCCCGAGTGTGATTTCATGAGATGCGATGGGGTGAATTAAGCTCACCGCAGACTGAAAAGACAGGGTTTTGCTCCCCCTTCCTTCCTCTGCCGCAGCTGCGGCTCCTGCTCCCTTGAGCCACTTCCAGCACTTGCTGGAGCCTGTTGTGAACTGATTTAACCTGCTGAAACGGCAGTAGAAAAAACAGCTTCCTTCCTCCTTCCATCCCCAAAAGTGCATCTCTTTCTGCTGTTTTGGTGAATTAAACTGGCTCGTAAAATGCTTCAGTGGGCAGCAGGGAGAGGCTCCGGAGGACAGGAAGAGCACCTTCTCTTTTTGGTGAGAGGGAGCTGTTGGGTCAGCTCAGATGGCCGTGAAACCTCAGCACCGAATTCCCTTTTAATACCTGTGTTACCATACCGAATTGCAGTGTATTGGATCAAAGTGCGTCTTCCAGGGCAACTGTGGGAGCACAGGAGCATGCTACAGTGGGTGGTTTTGTGGTGATTTGCTGGGCTCTTGCCTGGGAGAGAAGACGCTCACTAGGTGCCGTCGTTAAGACAGTGAAGATTTGCCTGTCTAATCAACTGTAATTTCTCTAATCAACCCTATTTTCTGTTTTCTTACATCCTTTATTAAATAACCAGTTGAGAATGACTTGAAGGGCTGTTAGCCTTCCAAATTAGCATCAATCAGTGTCACCTGAGCTGCTGTTCCAGGTCCTAGGTTACACATTAAGGCCAGGTGACTGATATTCGGGGCAGATCCCAGCCCTCCAGTGCACTCGTGCAATGCTTGTTTCACGTGATGGTTCTTTGTTTGACACATCTGAATGCCAACTGGGATGTGCTGGGGGTTTCAGCCTGCTCAGGAGGACAGGAGGGACGACCAGGACCCGGACAACCCCAGAGACCCTGAGGACAAGGAAGGAGGTGGAGTGCAGGAAGAGTGCTCCAAGCCAGAGCTGAAAAAGGAGACTCCAGAGACAAAAGCAGACAAGGATTTGAAAGCTACCCAGAGGGCAGTAAAAAGACACAGAAACATGTACTGCAAAGTTGTCTTGCTGGATGACACCATTTTTGAGTGTGCCGTGGATGTAAGTACATTCGGGGTTTGTTTCTTTTGCTCCTCTTTTCCCTCCCACTTCTCCTTCCCTTGAAAAGCTGTGTACCACAAACACTGCTTAAGAGGGGTCTGATTTGCTCCCGGTGAGTTACATGACCAGCTTTACTGCAGAACAATCTTGCTGTAAGCCCTAATAACTTACTCAGTGTGTTGTAAAAATCTCCGGGTGCCTTGGGACCTTTCTTTATTATTGCTCTGCGTTTTCCAGGGTGCCTTGTTGTGTAAGGCTGAGGGGAACTTAAAAAATGTTGTCTCACTTGCTGTTGATCTTCTCTTTCATTTTTACCCCAGACTAGTTTTTTTTTAATGTCTGGCTGAGATTGTCTTAAATGTCTTTTGCCCCTTTCATTTGAGTAAAACGTGTTGCCAGCTTGATTTGTGCTTTTCTCTTCACCCAAGGTACCTTAGCCTTTCAGCTTCCTGGCTAATGTAACTCCTGTAGCTTGGATGTTTAAAAAAAAAAAAAAAAAAGCTATGTTTAGCTTGCAGTTGAGAGTATATTCGCAGTAAACAATTTAAAAGCATTATGTTGACTTAACCACACTGCAGCACTCTCGATCTGAGACCTTTCCTTCTGCTTTCCTTGGTGCATTCTCTCACAGGACTGTCTTGCTGTCGGGACAATAAAAAGCTAGCAGAAATCCCTATTTCAGAATTGAAGTGCTTGCTCGGAATATTAATAATCTGGTCCTTACCATTTGAGCATACTTCATCGGCTTGGTTTTTCCCCCTAACCCACTAGCTAAACAGGCTCCAAGTGGGCATCTTCGGTGTTCTGGGCTCCTTGTGGGAAGTAACCTTGGGTGATCCTGGGCAAGTAGGTCAGTGCGGGGAGTTTGTGTAACAGCGTTGCTATTGTTATTGCCTGGGATCGGCTCAGAGCATTACCGCCCGGGATCAGCTCGCTGCCTGCAATCCTGACTTGCAGCCGCAGGAGCCCAGGGCGTCTGCTGGGGATTTCGGTTGCAGCCCCCAAAAGAAAACTGTTGTCCCTGTAACTGGTGGGGCAGGCACCTCTGGCTGTCAGACCTGTGACCAGTGCCGGTTTGCCGTGGCCATGCGGTTGCATTTGCCAGCTGCTGATCTATACGCACTGCAATAATACCTTTAAATGACACCAGGCTTTAAGGACGCCAGGCATGGGCGAGCTGGTGGCATTGTGGATGGCCGTTGGTTCAGTGTGGACTTAAGCAGAGCAAGGCTTACGGGTCTCCGGGACCTGCTCTTGTGTCACGTCACGTCTCTCTTCGTTCCCTCGACCGCTGATCCAGCCCTGCCTTGTTCAGCTCGCTCGAGGTGTGATCACATCGCATACCTCGGCAGCGGCCCCGTATGTGGTTACGCAGGAGAAGTCTGCGTGTCCAGAGCAGCCAGGGCTCCCGTGTCAGTGAGAATCTCTTGACTTGACAAGAGGCTTCAACGCCACTATGATCCTACTCCAGCATTTTGACAAGTAATTTATTAAGACTTAATTGGGAAGGAATTGCAAAGTGTAGTCAAAGATCAGCACAAATGCCTTTATTCAAGAAGAATAAACACTTTCAGACCTTCTTTCTAATTGACAACCATAGAAGGTTTTTGATTCCTGCATGTTCTTTAAGGACCAATTCCTTGAGAAATTGCAGGCTAGCGCATGCAATAAGTCACAATATGTGTACTCACAGCCGAAGGGCTGGAATAAAACAAGCCATTGAGATCTTTGATCGGTTACCATGCAAATACTGATAAAAGGAGAGACGCAGGCACAAGCAATGCATTAGTAAAGCTTATTTTTGCGTCAGTGGAACGGCACTTGCTCTTTACCCAAGTCTCCAATGGAATGAGCTGCTTTTGGTTACCATAGTTTTGTGCCTCGGGGACGTTTTCCTTCATGCTTTGGACTAAAAGGGTGTCTGTTCCTACGGCCAATTCATTTGGTTTGCTTCTGCGGGATTTGGAAAAAAAGACAGGAGGTAGAAGTGCTCAATGAGTATTGCTGGAGGCAAGAAGCGGTGCGCTAAGCACCAATCAGGGCAGGAGGCAAAACTGGAGAAGTTGGATTTCATCAAATCGAGGAAGAGGTTACGGAAAAGCCGGTCCTTTGTTCTGATCTGCTGTTTCTTCCATGAAAGCGCTGAGCCAGGCAGCCCCCCGAAGCACAGTGATGGGTTGTAGTAGCACTTCCGTCCCCCACGCTCGCCATCTTCTGATCCACCCTAGGTGGTTGGAGAGCCTGGTGCTGGCAGCAGCCAGGGCAGCAGAAGTTCTTTGAGAGGGAACAAGCGGTACAAACGCTCCAGTTGTGTGTTTTGAGTTGTGTAAAGAGAAGCACGGCTTTAGCGGGCGTCAGGCGTGGAGCAGGGAGACCTACTGCGGTTCTGCTTGCCTGTCCAGTTTGAATCTTGTGCCCAATGCTCTTTTCTCTAAAGAGTGCTTGCTCAGAGACTGCCAGGAGATCTGATCTGAACTCTTTGAGCTAGTCAGGACGTTTTCCCTTTCTCGGTAGCGTGCAGTGTGGTTTTCAGTTCGTTCCCTTTCTCCTTTGCCCCCACCCCAGGGAGTGAGGGCAGGCAAAAGGCAGCCCGTCCCATGGAATTTCTTTTGTGTCTTTGCAGAAACATGCCAAAGGGCAGGATCTACTTAAAAAAGTCTGTGACCACCTCAATCTCCTGGAAGAAGACTACTTCGGCTTGTCCATATGGGACACACCAACCTCCAGGGTAAGAAGTTTTCTGCGTTGTGTTCTGCACCCGAGGGAGTCGCTTCTTTTAAAGGCTGTCCTCCCCCAGGGAGGAGGTGGTGCATAACTTGCTCACAGTCGTCTTAAAAACTACTTTTGATGCCACCTCCCCAAGGAGGAAGTAATAGGGTATCATAGAGGCAGTGAAATTGTGAATAAATGGCTATGGGAGTGTGGATTTAAGTACTCAAGTTAAGTGAGCTACCTGAACTTGGAGAAAATTAATTATGTAGCTTACTGCAAAATGATGCCATTAAACTGTAAAGATATAATAGGACACAAGATAAGGCTTTTCTCACTTGAGAAAAGGACTGAGTTTTCTGCGTTGAGACTGAAAGAGTAAGTCAGCTACTTTTAAACTAAGGGAGGGGAACCCAAACGTAGGCGCACTGCAGGAAGACTTCACAGTGCTGTAGTTGGTGAGCGTGAGGCTGAGCAGTCAGGAGGTGGAAAACTGCTCTACTTTGGGAGTCGGCAACGGAGGATTCATTATATACCTCTAAGATGTTCATTCAGGGCGTACGCAAGCATGCATCGTGGTCTCCAGAGAGCCTTGGCTTGACTTTCTCTTCCGTCTCTGACTCATGACTCCCCTTCCCCCCGGCTTGTGTAGCAAATCCTAGACTTTGAATTCAGGCTGGGTTTATTTTCCCCTTGTAGCCTCCCCCTCCAGTTCAGCCTGGGCAAACGTTGCTCTTCTTAATAATGACGGCTCCAGCTTATTTTCTGGATGGTAACGTTGCGCTGGGAGCTTGATCGCCTCTGTTACGGCAGCAAAGGCAGCAGGGGGGCTGTGGAGGAAGGCTGAAAACGTTCAGTTGCAGAAGGGCAGCAGGGGAGCTGGGAGCGACTGCTGGCTCCCGGCACCCGTTCGGCGTGTGCCGGCTGCGGATCGGCATTCGGTGATGACCCGCGAGGATTCCTGGCCTGAGATTTGGGGTTTGGATTGAGGCTTAGCCCTGCAAAAGGACACGGGCAACTTTTCATACCGAAACTCTTGTTGGTATAGTTTTGCTTTGAGGTCTTTGTTTGGGTAGACTCGAGCAGTATCTTATCTTTTAAGCACTTGGTTACGCTTTAACTGAGTGCCTGGTAGGCAATTACTCCAGCTCTGTGTAACGAGCCTAGCCCCAGGTATGCTGAATTGAAATCAAAGGCCTCCTTAAATGTCCTTTAGACCAGTTACATCAGTCCACGTCCCAGATGTTCTGTGTTTCACGTACAGCAATCACTTAACGGGCCTCGTTACTATGGATGAAAGAAGCATTTATCATTATAACACTTAATAATTGAAAGCATGGATTTGTAATACACAGCTAAATGAATCTGTGCTATTTGTGGCAGGCAGAGCTCCGTCCTGGGTTTGTTTTTATTGTCTCTGCTGGTCTGGCCCAAGCATGTTCTTCTCGGGTCAGCTGCTCATTTCGAGTTGCAGCAGCCTTGCTGGCACGCAGCACAGGAGCGTGCTGATTTCCTGAAAGCAAAAACGAGTGCTTCCTTCACCCACTTGATGCGAGCCAAGAGGCTGTACAGCTTTTTAACTGTAGCGAGTGAGAACAGGTATTTCTGTTGGATTTAGGTCTCAGAACCGGGAGCTGGGGAAGGCAGAGCTGCTGCGCAAGGGTTGAATTTCAGAGCGGAGTAAACTGCTCTTGTCTGCAGTTTAACCCCCCACCCCCCCTCTTTT